TCTGGGCATTAATTTTGTTTCCAACTCCTTGTCTCATTGTGCTATGTTGACTTTTCACAAATTTTACCACTGGAACTTTATTAATTAAAGTAGTAGTAGAATTAGTCAACTTTTGAGGGGTTTTAGAACATGATGGATCGTAGCCTAGTCCGGCTTTATCTCCAGCGGGTTTTTGCATGTTTACCATTTTATCCATTATTTTGGATGAATGCGTAAATGATGTGATAACTTCCCGAAGGTTATGTTCTCTAACCTCTCTAGCTTTGCACTCTTCATGAAGTCGAATATTTTCGGCTTTCAAGTTACTCATTTCATTTAGAGCATTTTGCAATTTTTGTGCCATTTCTTCCTTTTCAAGGATTAATGTATTATTGCGCTCTTTGATTTGAGTATGAGTGGCCATGACCTTTTGACAATCTTCCATAAGACTTTGTAATGATTCTTGAGTCTCGAAAGAGGTGTCAACGGAACTAAAGGAATTAAAGGAACTAGAAGATACCTCTTCGTCGGTTTCGCGCGCCATTAAACATTCCTCATGTTCGGATGTCTTGCCAACTAAGCATAGAAGCGCCGTATCTTCTTGTCATGAATCACTCTCGTCACTGGATGATTCTTCGGATTCACTTGCTTCTAGTGGCTCACTTATCAAAGCCTTTCGTTTATCCTTCTTGAATCTCTTTTCCTTCGACTTGTATTCTTCCTGCGAAGGGTTAGTAGCATTCGAATTTTGGCTTACCTTGGGGTATGGACATTCGGCCATAAAGTGTCCAAGCTTTCTACAATTATAAGACACATTTGTGTTATCTTTGACTTGTTCTTTTCTTGGTCTTCTAAACGAGCTTCCTTGTGGTGAATTCTTGAACTTGTTCTTTCGCATGAACTTTTTGAATTTCCTAACAAATATGGAGAACTGTTCGTTAGATAAAAAATCATTATTTCCTACTGACCTTGATGTATACGGTTGATCGGCCATTAGTGCGGATGTTCGTTCATCGCGTTCTTCTTCAATTCGTGTCTTCATCTCGAACTCATATGCCTTGAGATCACTAAAGAGTTTATCCGTAGATAATGTCCTTAGATCTCTATGATCTCGCATCACGGTTACTTTCATATCCCAATTAGAAGGTAGTCCACGCAATACTTTGAGTGATATTTCCTTCTGGGAGATGGTTTTGCCAAGATCACTTATTTCACCAAGAATCTTGACTAAGCGTGCTTCCATATCGGTAATACTTTCGTTAGAAAGCATTTTGAAATCTTCGAATCTTTTCATGGCGATGGTTAGCTTGTTGTCCTTTTCTTGTTCGTCGCCTTCACCGATACTAATGAGAGTATCCCATATTTCTTTTGGCGTAGTGCACTTTCGAATCTTTGGGAATATGGTGTCATCGACCGCTTTGAACAAAATGTCCTTGGTAATGTTGTCCAAGTTATTTCGCCCTCTATCTTCACTCGTCCACTCCATTTTTGGTTTTGGAGCATATTGTGGAGCATTTGGATCTCGTGCGGTAGCGGTATTAGCTTCCATTTCATCATATAGGGCCAGTGGTGATGACTTCCCACATTTCATCATTTAAAGCAGATAAGTGCACCTGCATACGTATTTTCCAATCATCAAATTTATCAAGTGAGAAAAGCAAATTTTGAGCAAGAACCATATCTCTCTTCATCTTGAAGTTTCGAGATCTATCTAGCAGTCAAGAAACGACTCAAATAGACAATCGCTCTGATACCACTTGTTGGTCCCGAAAGGGTGGCGAGAAGTCTAGAGTGGGGGTGAATAGACATCTCTAACTTTCAAACTTTTCTCAAGCATACAGCACTTTGGTAACTTCAACTCTAAGTAACGAGCATAAACAAGTGTAACAACTTAGAGTGTTCATAGTGGAATATGTAACGGCAAAGTGTTATGCTTTAATTCTGTAGTGTTCAAAGAGAGATTCTATACATGCATCACGTTAGAAACACTTGATATAGATTAAGGATGATGTATGTAAAATTTCACTTGCATGCAAACGAGGGAACTATCAAACCCAGACAGATAAAGATACGCGATAAATCGTAATGGGTTAGTTCACAGTTGATATAAGCATGCACGAATTAAATGAGAAGTAAGTAAATAGAGAGAGAGATTTATAGTGGTTCAGAGATGGTGTAATTCTCCTAGTCCACTCTTCTCCTCTCACTTCAAGGAGGAAATTCACTACTCTTCGATCACACAGATACAATAATGAATAAGTGTCCAGCGACACATCTCCGAGTGCTTCGCACAAAGCTACACTCCACCAAGGTTTTTCGCAAGCTCCTCTTGTTACTCCGCCTTCCTGAGTACTTTGCACCAAGCTGTACTCCTACACCACGAGAACTACGCACAAAGCTACGCTCTCATCGGGTTTTCACAAGCTCCTCTTGTTACTCTGCCCTTTACAACCGAGTGCTACGCACAAAGCTACACTCAAACTGGGTTTTTCACTCTCTCTAGTTACTCTACCCCTTTTCTACACTCAGTAGAAGGTTTACAATGAAATATAAAGATTTCTTCTCTCAGACTTGAATTCTATCGTATATAGCTCAATATATCACTTGATGTTTGATTGGGTAATTTTCTTCGTGTTGTTCAAGTATTTGTCTTCATGTCTGCTTGGGCATTTTAAAGCCAATGAAAGCTATTTGCCCGTTGATCAACTTTCGATCTTGATCGCCCATTTTGAATTGTAGTTGATCAAATAATTTTGCCAACTTGGTCTACAAAGTCATTTCGCCGTCTGTCAGAAGATTTGAATAATCTTGCCGTTAATCTGACAAAACTTTTCTTGGAATGGGTAGCCTCCAAATTTGAATTATTATCAGGCATGACTTTTGTTGAATTATTGATCTGATGTGCCAAGTTGATCAAATAATTTATCTGCTGATTCTTGCTTTAGTATATAAAATATTTCCTTCGTGTATCAGCTTCTTCGACTCCTTCGTCTTCCTTCGCAAAAACTTTCTGTCTAACAGATAATGTCATAGCTCATTTGATGATGTCATATCCCGATAGTATATCATGTCCATCTAGTATCATGAACTTGTTATCGTGTCTTCATAAAAATTGCTTCATGTGAGATTCGAGCCATGTATCCTTTAGTTGCTTTGCAAGGCTTCTTCCAACTCGACTAGTTAACCTTTTGATACATATCATGACTTAAATTCTTTTGTCTCATCTCTTCACGTGAGTTTCATAATTCTTGTAGAAGCATATCACTTTGTGACATCATCATCCGATAGCACACAATATCATGTTATAAAAACTATTTCTTCATGATAGATCTACCCGATATCATACTTCCCAATATCACTTCATGTCTACTACTTCATGATAACACTTCACCATAGCTTGTCTAAGCTTTTTAGACCAAAATGCTCACAATGGGAATTGAACTATAGGCCATCAAGTATCAAATGTGCTTCAATAAGTCTTCTTCCATCTCGTCCATCACAACCTTTAATGACTTAAATGCTTCATAAATGTCTTAAGCTATGATCCCCCTTTCATTTATTCTTCCTTCAATAAAGCTTTCACGTAGGCTTCATGGCAGTGGTGCACCATACTTTGTGAACCAGAACTGACTCAAACAAAATAAAATTGGGGTCTATAAAATACATTTGGCTCATCAAAACTTATACAAAATATTCCTAACAGATAGTGATCCTTTCCTTTTCGAGTATAGTTTCATATCTTCGCTGTGATCCGTTGATTGATTCCTATGATGGTGTTGTGTGTGTGTCTGTACCTGGATTGCCCGATTAATGGAATGGGACATTAGTCACCAAGGTACGGCAGTGGTCCTCGCGGTGGCCTTGACGTAATTATGGAGTTTGTGACCTGTGTGATGGGTTCACGTATTTATTGGGAGGAATGTGTTGCCAAAGTGTGTGATTGGTACCCTCGTGTACTTTTGTTGATGGAAATTGTTGGTGGTTTGTTGGTGGATGGGGTCGACGGTCCTCGGAGGAATAAGGTTGGACTTGGATGTAAAGAGGTCCTGTGGGTAATGGTTGGAACTAGCTATAAGGTTGGGGGTAGCCATAATGTTGGAATCGGGCATAAGGATGGAACATGGATTATTGTATTCGTGATGGGTGATGTCACGAAGGCATGTGTTGCCGATGTGTGTTTCTCTATTCGTGACGAGTGATGTCATGAAGGCATATGTTGCCTATGTGTGTCTCTTTATTCTCTTGTGTTGAGCATGGCGGGTGATATTCTACTGAGTGATGGTAGAATACACCTTGAGCCTTTCTTGTGTTTTGCTATTACTTCTTGATGTGTCTTGGGATGTGTTCCCTTATCCTTGTTGTGAGAGATATAGAGTCTTTGTGGTTGACTTCTATCTTTGGCTTTGAAGTCATATATACAGTATTCCGTTTCGAAATGATTTTGTAATAAACTATCTATCTATATATGCTATTGACGCGTATTGATGGGTTACCAACATTATTCGCTGACCAGGCGTCGTCCCATTTATTTATGTGCTTTTCAGGTCCCGAGTAGTGGCGAGCGCGATAAAGAGATGGCTAGTGTAGTTCCCCAGACTCTGTTAGTTATATTTTGGGCCTATGTGCCTCTTTTGACAAACAATAGATTGTTGTTGGTTTGACCTTGTCTCTTGTTAGACTTTGAGACTGTTGATGTTGATGATGTTCTTGCCTGTACGTTCACCCTAGTGTGGACGTGGCATAACACACTTCGTTTTCCAGTTTTATATAGTTAGACTTCCGTTGTGATTTGTTTATATTGTGGTTAGATTATCTTGCTTATTTAAGTTTAAAATGGCATGGAAATCGGGGGTGTTACAGTTGGTATCAGAGCCTAGGTTTGAGTCTTGGATGATAGAGTCTAGACTTTTAAGTGGTTAAGTGTGGTTTGATACCCTAAGCGACCGTAAGAATCTAAGTGACTAGGACTTTGGACTCTTAGGACGCACGGTGAGCTGTGTTGTTGTTGTAGAAGCATTGCGATGGCACCTCCCCGCCAGCGTGCACGTACACCGGAAACCCCGACGAACGAACAGCTTGCCCAGAATCTGCAACAGCTTACGCAGACTATGCAGACCCTCAGCGAGGCGTTGTTGTACAACAACCATCCCGTACCTCCTCCTCAGCCTGTCGGGCATAGGGATTCAGAGCGCCTTGTGTCAGGCCATAGACCTCCGACGTTCGCCGGCGAGGAAGACCCCGTTGTTCTTGAAGAGTGGGTTAGGACATTTTACAAGATCTTTTCGGTTGTTGGGTGCCCAGAGGAGCGGCGAGTGGAGCTAGCTATGTTCTACTTCAGCCACGAGGCCGACTTGTGGTGGGAACACGAGGGCCCAGCTTGCCTCGAGGAGCGTGACTTTGACTGGATGGCCTTGAAGGACCGGATGCGTGAGCGGTTCTATCCGGCGCATGTTCGAGCCGCGATGTATGAGGAGTTCCTGCACCTTCAACAAGGTTCTTCATCGGTGGTTGAGTACCACAAGAAGTTTCTAGAGCTTGCTCGCTCCGCCAGGATGCTTGTCCCTACCGAGCTCGCCAAAGCTGAGAAATTCGTAGCAGGTTTGAAATACGAGACACGAAAAGCCTTAACCGTGAGTAGGTCAAGTTCTTTGAAGGAAGCATACGTAGGTGCCGCGGACTTGTATCGGGTGCAGCAGCTACAGCGTGGATCTTATGAACGCGCCTCCCCCATCTCAAGGACCAACTCGAGCGGAGCCAGGGAGCCAAGCCAGGACGTTCCCGTGCCGTAGGTGTGGGAAAGAGCATGCGGGCAAGGATTTCCATGGTCAACTGTTCCGATGTTTCTGTTGCGGGGATAGAGGTCATAAGATCGCCGAGTGCCCTCAGCAAGCCAACCAAAGGGCGTTGCCACCATCTACGGGATCCGGAGGAGCATCGGGCGGGAGCTCGAGTCATGGAGCAGCCGGGGCCAGACCGTCGGGTAGAGTTTTCGTGATGGGGCGATCTCAGGCGGATACGGAGGGCTTAGTTGAGGAGGAGTTAGCAGGTAACCCTTTCCTAGCCTACCCTTGTCTTAAGAACACATCTTGTTCCTTGTTGCTTTTGTGTGTTGTCTTGTTTCCTTCATTGTCTTTTTGTGTTGCCTTGGCTTCTTTGTTGCATGATTCTCTTGGTCTTAAGAGAAAGCCTTTCGTAGAGATAATTCTTTACTTCTAAAATGAGTCACGCTTGTGTTGATCCCTTAGCCTTACATATATGTTTTTGTAACTCATCCTTCTTGTGAGTCACCTAAATTTATCTAAGTGTTCCTTGAATTTAGAATAGAAAAACCCATAGAATTCCTTCTTTTGTAACCTAAAAAAACCAAGTAATTTTAATCATAAGCCTTAAGTTTTGAACCTGAGTGTATCACTTGCCAACCTAACCCTTGAACCACTTGAGCTAATTATGTTTCTTAAACCTTACCCAATTTTGATTCTACTTCACCCATAAATTCTCACTTTACCCAAAATCCCCAAATTAAATCATCTTTTTCCCAATTCCCCCCCAAATCCCAAAACCCTTATTTTCCTTTCCCTTCCCTCCCCTCTACCCGTGTGTTCAGCCGATGCAACCCCACCACCCGTCGACACCCTGTCCCCGTCGCACCACCGAACCACCACCGACTTCGCCTGGCGCCGTAGCCACCACCGGAGCCCTGCTGTCGACCTGCTGTGCTGCCGTGAACTGAGAGCAGCGAGAAAGAGAGAGAGCCGACGCGAGAGAAGAAGAAAAAGAGGAGGAAAAAGCCTTGGGTCCTTTCATTGAGCTTTGGGTCATCTTTCAACCATGCCTAGAAGAACAAGTTTGGCAAGGAAAGTGGAATGGGTGGATGCCCATTATCTCGTTTTAAAAGGTAAAGCTTTTGACTCGGAATCTTTTCCTAGTTCTTTGTTGGATATGCTACGATATCAAGGCTTGTTGGATTGGTTCCTCACCATAAGGGTTGAGACGTACCCGAGCTTAATTAGTTAAGGAGTTTTATCGTCAGATGGTTGTAACTAAAGACGACGGGAAGCTTGAAATCACCTCTAAGGTGAGGGGCGTGAAAGTAGTTTTGTCTGTTGGGTCGGACGAGTGGTTTCACTCAAGCCTCGAGACCGGAGAAGAAATGGTTGTCTGCCGAGCAAAGAATCTTGGTGATGCTTGTGTCGGATTGTTTGTTGCCCAATAACAACAAAAGCCGGTTGTTGGGAAAGCTAGAGTGCACCTTTGTCTTTTGTCTAAAGAATATGGTAAAGTTTAATTTGCCTGCCTTGATGTTGCAACACATGGTTTTCTGTCGAGACCACAACTGGAAGAGCCTACCTTATGGGATAGTTTTGAGTTGGATCTTTGCCAGGAAAGGCAAGAGTGTTGAAGGTTCTGTGCCGAAGCGCGTAAGTAAGATGGTGTTGGATGCTATCAATCTGCGGAGTTGCAACTTGTTCCAGTTGGACGACGGTGAATACATCACTCTCAAGGAAGTTTCTAGGAAAACCCCCGAGGAGAGAGATGAGTTGGTTGCAAAGCTCAAGATTCCTGTTGGGAAGTTAAACCTCGCGGTTCAAAGTCTAGGGGGTGATGTGGGGGAAGACAAAGAAAAAGGCCATGATGAGGAAGACGCAGTCGTTGGAGCAGCTGCCGAGGTTGAGGAGAGCGACCCGGGGAGTGAAGAGAACCGGAGGAGGAGAGAAGCCCGAACTAAGAGAGAGCATGATGCTATGACACACGAGGAGCGCGTGGTCACCCTTCTACGCCAGCAAAACTGGTTAATCGAAGAGGCCTTTGCTTTTATGAAGACGTAGTTCATTGCTGTTCACCAGAGGTTATATCAGATAGAGGCCAGCTCGAGCCGAAGGGGAGAAGATGAGGAGTCCGATGAAGACACCGAAGAATCGGAGAGCGAGTCGTTCTAGCGCGGTGTTGTGGTAATCCCGTCCACCTTTCCTTAGCTTGTTGTTATCTTTTAGTTGTTGCTACCGTTTGCTAGTTGCTTGTTGTTTGCTTTGTGTGTTCGCTCTTGTTTGCTAGTTTCGTTGAGTAGTTAGCTTGTGGGTAGTTCTAGGAGCTAGTTGTTTAGATCTTTGGTGTTGGTTAGGAGTTTGGTTGTTGTGTTTGGCTTAGAGTTTGTTATGGTCAATGACTCCGTTGGTTATTTCCTTCAACCTTTCAATGCTATGATTTCTTGCATGTTCTTGGTATTATTTGGATCCTTTAAAGTTTTGACCAAAAGGATATTCTTGACACTCTTGTCAGCTTGTTATTTCGTTTTCCCGTTTTGCTTTGATTCGTCGTACCCAAGCTTCGGGGACGAAGCTTCTTTTACGGGGGAAAGGATGTGACACCCCGTAAATCCAATTCCATTTAGGGATTAATTAAGTAATTAATCCTAATCTAATTGATAAGTTAATTCCGAAAATCCTGATAATTCAATAGTCGGGGACTAGTAATTGACTAGTCAACCCAAGTCAAGGTGTTGTACCTAAAGCTTTGAGAATAGTTCCCTTGTTCCCTTACACTTCTTCATCTTAGTAAGGGTAATGAAGACATTTCACCTCATGATTGTATTCCAAGATAACCTAGAAGACATCTTTCATTCTTTCCCTTACACTTTCAAAACAAAAGCTCTTCCTTCTCTCTAGAAATCTAGCTAGCTTTCCTTCAAGCTAAGTTTGGGGTTTCCAAGATCTTCAAAGTTTGTCTCCAAGATTCCACCTTTCCTACTCTTGAGCATCTAGGAGGGTAAGATTTATGTTCCTTTTGTGTTTTTAGTGTTTTCTAAGGTATCTTTTTCTAAAGATGAAATCTTTATGGTCTTTTGGTGTGTTTTTGAAGTGGGTATTGAAGGAGAACCTTGTTAGGAGCTTTGAGAAGTGTTATAAGTGAAGGTTTAGTCTTCAAGAGGTAACCCATGCTTTACAAAATCTATTTTACTTACCTATATGATGATTTCTTGGATTCTACATGTGATTTTGCTATAAAATGTGAGTGTTGATGCATTGTCTTGTGAAAATGCATATCTAGAGCTTGTTATTAGGGTTCTTGTATGCCATTGCTTGGCTATTCCTTTGATTCAAGTCATTTTGTTGTATTTGGTGAGATTTTGCATGTTTTGGACTTGAATTTGAGCTTGGTATTGAAAATCCCCGAAGGGATATTTTTGTACAGCGTATTGTACCCGCGGGCGGAACGGCGGGTAGGGGTTCACCCGCGGGGTACAGGTGTGTGGGACGTTGGATCCCGCGGGCGGAACCACGGGTGGGGCCACCCGTGGCCCAACCCGCGGATACATATATGATGATGGTTGGGGATTTGTTCCCTGTGATTCTTTTGACTCGGTATTCGATGTTTTGACTTCCCGAAGTTTTTTTGTTGGGCTTTTGAGTGTCTTCTTGATGTTTCGTATGTCTAGAACTATGTGGTAGGATTCCATGTAGGTTTTGGTGTCTTGAATCGTGATAAGTGTTCAACCTTGTGATTCGTTGAACCATGATGAGTCTTGTGTGTTCTTTGGAACTATGTTTTGTTTACCCGTTTGATAAGCATGCTAGTTCGGTGTTGAAATGCTAGCATGTGTGGTTTGTCCTTTGCTATTGTGGATGATGACTTGTGTCAATCATCGTTGTTGTCGGATGGTGATCATTTCCTTGTTGAGTATAGTTTCATATCTTCGTTGTGATCCGTTGAATCATTGCTATGATGGTGTTGTGTGTGTGGCTGTACCTGGATTGCACGATTAATGGAATGGGACATTAGTCACCAAGGTACGGCAGTGGTTCACGTGGTGGCCATGACGTGATTATGGAGTTTGTGACCTGTGTGATGGGTTCACGTATTTCTTGGGTGGCATGTGTTGCCAAAGTGTGTGATTGGTACCCTCGTGTACTTTTGTTGGTAGATGGGGAAGACGGTCCTCAGAGGAATAAGGTTGGACTTGGATGTACAGGGGTCCTGGAGGTAATGGTTGGAACTAGCTATAAGGTCGGGGGTAGCCATAAGGTTGGAATCGGGCATAAGGATGGAACAAGGATTATTGTATTCGTGATGGGTGATGTCACGAAGGCATGTGTTGCCGATGTGTGTTTCTCTATTCATGACGAGTGATGTCACGAAGGCATGTGTTACCTATGTGTGTCTCTTTATTCTCTTGTGTTGAGCATGGCGGGTGATATTCTACTGAGTGATGGTAGAATACACCTTGAGCCTTTCTTGTGTTTTGCTATTACTTCTTGATGTGTCTTGGGATGTGTTCCCTTATCCTTGTTGTGAGAGATATAGAGTCTTTTTGGTTGACTTCTATCTTTGGCTTTGAACTTATATATACAGTATTCCGTTTCGAAATGATTTTGTATTAAACTATCTATCTATATATGCTATTGACGCGTATTGATGGGTTACCAGCATTATTCGCTGACGGGCGTCGTCCCATTTATTTATGTGCTTTTTAGGTCCCGAGTAGTGGCGAGCGAGATATAGAGATGGCTTGTGTAGTTCCCTGAACTCTGTTAGTTATGTTTTGGGCCTATGTGCCTCTTTTGACAAACAATAGATTGTTGTTGGTTTGACCTTATCTCTTGTTAGACTTTGAGACTGTTGATGTTGATGATGTTCTTGCCTGTGCGTTCACCCTAGTGTGGACGTGGCATAACACTCTTCGTTTTCCAGTTTTATTTAGTTAGACTTTCGCTGTGATTTTTTTATATTGTGGTTAGATTATCTTGTTTATTTAAGTTTAATATGGCATGGAAATCGGGGGTGCTACATTGATGATCTATGATGTGTTGTTGATGATTTGGGAGTGTTTATTTGCCTAAAAATGTCTTACAGGTGAAGAAGAAGCTCACTGGTGCACAACACAATGTGCACCAGATGAGGCACGGATCTAGCCAACGACCCTTGGGAGGAGCGGTTGGCTAGGTCCGTGGAGGAGCGGCCCTAGGGCACGGCTCTAGGCAAGAGCTGTGGCCCTAGGCCACCGCTTGGTGGCTCCAGGCTGCAGGGCTCCTCAAGCCTCGCTAAGCAGAAGCTGTGCAGTGGACGCACGTTTAGAAAGTGATTTCATGAAATTTGGAGTAGAAATGAGCATTTTGTGATTGAATTTGTGAAAGAGAGTGCTACCGAATTGTCTGAGAGTAAATATAGTGAAGGAAAATGTTGAGTATTTGGTCTTGGCTATTTATTTGAGAATCATGACAATTATGTGATTGTTAGATAATGATATATGATCAATACTTGTTAAGTTTGCTAGAAAAACATGCCTAGATGTCTAATGGAGTTGTTGAGATTATTGCCAAGAATGTTACATTTTACAAAGCATGTTTACAGCAAATAAGAATATGTTGAGCATTTTGAGTTCAAGAGCATGTTGAATACTTGCTAAGTGTTTGCCAATGAAGATTTGCTAATCTATGATTTATGAGCATGTTTATAGAATTGTTGAGAATTCACAGTGAGAAGATAACTGAAGTTTATTCTACAGTAAAGTGCATATTTGAGCATATCATGTTTTAAAGTGCATAAATGGCCAAAGTGAGCCTAAGTATTATTTCCAAAGACTTATGTCTATTTTGGAAAATCATTATCTAGTTGCATTGAGAAGTTGCATGATATTTTATTTCCAATTTGTGAGAAAAGAGAAGTTGTTGAGAAGCTATGTGCATAAGTTTGCATAAATAAAGTTGTTGCATGAGTTTGAAATGCATGAACTATATCTATATGTATCTAGTGTGAGTAATCCGAGGTTTTGGAGGCCCGTTAGGACTATGTCCTTTCGGAAGAAAAGAGAAAGAAAGAAAGTAAAGAAAGAAATGGACATTGCGATCCGATATGAAGTAACGAGGTAGATATTCCCGAGTTACAAGGTTGGAGACTGCCCGCCAGGCTTGGAATCCTGGATAGGGGGTGTGCACACTGATAGTTCGATACCTGATTCCCAGAGTTTGAGAAAAAGGACCAAGAGAGTGGTTCTACGGGCGAGATGAGTATTAGGCCGGCTAGATGCCGAGCCCAGATAGGTTTATCCACCTTATGGTGAAGTCCTACCTCGCCCATGATTAAAGAAAGAAATCGAGTCAAGAGACTCAAGAGAAAGCAATCGAGTCAAGGGACTCAAGAGAAAGCAATCGAGTCAAGACACTCAAGAAAAAGAAAGCGAGTCATTGTGACTCTAAGAAAACTCCATAAGAAATAGTATTCTTTTACAAAAGAGTGTATATGTATATATATCTATAATTATACTAAAAACATCATGTTCATTTTTGTTGCATGATCAAGTATGATTGCACGAGATTGCATAATGAGTATGATTGCACTAGATTGCATAATGAGTATGATTGCACGAGATTGCATAATGAGTATGATTGCACTATATTGCATAATGAGTATGATTGCACTAGATTGCATAATGAGTATGATTGCACGAGATTGCATATTGAGTATATGATTGCACGAGATTGCACAATGAGTATGATTGCACTGGGTTGCATAATGAGTATATGATTGATTGTATATTGAGTATATGATTGCACGAGATTGCATGATGAGTATATGATAGCATGAGCTTGATTTGAGATTATGTGATAGCACAAGATTGCTTGTTGAGTTATGTGTTAGCATGAGATTACTACTGCGATGTTAGATAGACTTGAGATCATGGATAAGTTAAGTATGTGAAAGTATGAGCTTGGTGTTAAGCTAGATAATTGTGAAAGCATGCCTATTTTTAAAGTAGGCTACAAGCAAATAGAAACCCTGTTAAGCATGTTAAAGTGTTGCCTAAGTGATTGAGAATGTTTGATGAACCAAATGTTTTTCAAAAGTATATATTGTAGTACTTTATAGGGTTGAGTGTCGTTATACATAGCTTCGTGCTAATGGGATTGTTTTCTACTTGTTGTTTGTTAACCCCTTTTAGGTGGGCCCAGTTCGTGAGAGAGAGTACGAGTTAGACTAGACTAGCATTAGTTAGCTTGTATAGTCTAAAACTTTTGATGTTAATTTACTCTTTTGAGACTTGTAGATGACTACCCTATGCTTTTGACAGTGCTGGACACCGGGATATATCCCCTAGATTGATTGATGTTTAGTACGATTTTATGAATTAGTTGTTATCCCTAGCCTGTACAATCACCGAGAAGGGTAATTGTGGTGGTGACACCTCTTATTAAGTTGTTTAGTAAGCTTTTCCGCTGCCTTAGCTTACTTTTCAAGGTTAAGTTAGTTAATTAAATTTAAGAAAAGTGGGTGTTACAGATGATGACAAAGAAGCAGCGTGGAGAAGTGACATTCCATTTTCGACGACATGCATGTGTCGTCAATCAGCCATGCCATTCTGCTCAGGTGTATGTGGAGGAGTTGTAAAATATGAAATGCCATGAGCATTAAACAGTGGTATTAATTTAATAACCCCCCCCTCCCCCATTGTAAGAATATACTGAGACAATTGACAGACCAAAATATTTCTCCACTAATCTTTTAAACTGAGGGAATATCAAAGAAACATCAGACTTTAGTTTTAAATGATATAGCCAGATGTATCTAGAGAAGTGATCTACAAATATAACATAATAAGCAAAATCGTCAATTGATTTTTCCGATGTACCCCATACATTAGTGTAAACTAATTGCGGAGGCCAAGTACTGGCAAGAGTTCCTTTGAAAAAAGGTAACTTATGACTTTCGTATACACTTTGCACAACCGGCAAGAAAACTTATTTAACAATGACATAGATATTGGAACGGTGCAGTGTTGCAACACAAGATGTAACACCTTATTGGACGGATGGCCAAGTCGATGGTGCCACTGAGACACGTGTTACAGCTGCATGGAATTGACTGTGGGTTGACGCAGGAGTGGTCCATAGTAGACACCATCAATATTCGCCCCCCGTAGTAGTGACATCCCCGTTCGAAGATCCTTCACAAGAAAGTGGGAATCAAAAAATTCAACCGACACTTGGTTAGTTTTGCACAACTGCGATATCGAAACTAAATTATTATGCAACTGCGGTACACGTAGGACATTTTGGAGAGTGAACACGAAAGAGGGAATGGGAATAGAGGACTGACCAACGTGAGAAATATTTAAAGAATTACCGTCGCCCAGACGTATTTCTTTAGGACCATTGTACTCAGTAAAGGTCTGCAGAGGAGTCATATTCGGGGTGGCATAATGTGACGCCCCGCTGTCAAACATCCACAGCGGAGTCGACCCTACGGTAGAATTAGGTGTAGGTGACTGAGGCTAAGAAAATGAAGGTGCCTGCATGGGAAACACATTATGGTCTTCTAAAAACCGGGCTAACTTACGACAAAGCATGAGTTTCATGGCAAGCAAGCTGACAAAACTGACACACAACACCAGATCATTTGGTGCCATTGTGCGACGAATTTGGTCCATCATTGCCGTACGTGTTGTTGTTGTTGTTGCGGAACCTCCGATTGGTGGTAGACTACTGATTATTACGGGAAGCCGAAGGACCACGTTGGGTGGCATTAGCAGTCGCCAGTAGAAACTGGCGAGCATCATCAGTTGACGTTCATGATCTGTGAGGGCATCGGCGAATTCTCCCAAAGAAATGGGTTTGTCACGGATACGAACAGTAGAGACGATTGAGCTATATATACTCGTCTCCTAGTTGTGTTAAAATGTACACAACCATGTCATCATCATAAATAGGGCATTGAGCCAGGGTGAGATCATCAGCTATGGACCACATGTCGTTCAAAGATGCGGTGATTGATCGATTACCCTTCGGGTTTCTAGTAAGCTTGACCTTGAAAGAAATGATCCGTCATCGGGAGACACTAGCATAGGTAGCAACGAGCAATTGCTAGGCATCCCCAGTAAAGCACTAGTGATTATATGGCCTTGGCGATACCAAGTTAAATGTGCCGGGTTTGGAGTTGTTTGTGTAGTATTATTAAATTTTGCTGGTTCTTTGACAGGACCGTCGATGTATTCGAGGAAATTAAAGCTTATCAGAGTGGAATGAACTTGGCGTCTCCAGACAGGAAAGTTGAGGGAGGTGAGTTTGATAGGGAAATCCGATGGAGCATTAAGCTGGACAATGTCATTGGTGGTTGTAGCCATGGATATAAAAATGGTGAAAGAAAAAAAAAAAAAAAAAAAAAACTCCTTAGGGGACTATGGCTCTTGATACCATGTGAATGAATGAACTGTACCTTTATTGATGTAAACTACCAGGTATATAGTACATAGAGGAGAGTAGATAACAGGGAGTTGTAACAACTATTCAAACATAACTATTTTACAGGAACATAAATAGAGCAAATAATAACTTAATGTAATACTAGCCACATATAGGCTTAACATGAGACAATCTTACACAAGTGTTATCCTTGAATAATATTGTATAAAAATAAAAATTTGTAATGCAATGGTCTAGGGGTTGAGAAATTGTGCTTGAAGTTCTCTTTGAACGGCGGCAAGGTAAGGTTTTGAACCCCCACCAAGCTAGGCAGGAGGCGAAATTGAGTTTTTCTACTTTTCAAAAAAAATAATAATTGTATTTTCAACTCTTAGACTAATTTTGAGTTATTTCCACTTTTGGTCCCATGAGTATGGAATTATTTTCACATTTGGTCCCCGACTATTAAAATTTTCAGATTTGGTCCTACGACTTTTAAATCCTTGCCATATTTGGTTCCCGACTATTAAAATTTTCATATTTGGTCCCATGAATTTTAAATCATTGTTACATTTGGTCCATTATTGAGCCTAAGTTTTAATTATCGGTGATAAAATTTCAGGCAAGTGAATTATCTTAAAGATTTTTTTTTCCTAATACTTTTTTCTTGAACTTATTTTTTCCTCCCAAATCACTTTCTTTGTTTTCCCCCCAATGAGACTAAATAAAGTTACAAACTATATATTTTATCAACTTTATAAGTTAATATGGTGTTGAATTAATGATATTATGATTACAGAATACAAATATTATATACAAACTTTAATAATGTTAAAATCTAAGTTAAATAAATTAAAATTATATTACAAATTAAAATTTACAAACACGAAATGTTTTGTACAAAAAAGTACAATTTATTTAATTAGATGGAAGATTAGTTGTTAATTTTGGGATTAGAGAATCACACGACCAAATCTGAAATTTTTAATAGTCAAGGACTAAATGTGGCAAAAATTTAAAAATCGTGGGACTAAAACTGGAAATTTTAATAGGTAGGGACCAAATGTGGTAAGGATTTAAAAGTCATGGGACCAAATATGAAAGGATTTAAAAGTCGTGGAACCAAATCTGAAAACTTTGACGGTAAGGGACCAAATGTGGTAAGAATTTAAAAGTCGTAGTACCAAATGTAGAAATTTTAATAGTTAGAGAGCAAATGTGAAATAGTTTCATACTTGTGGGACCAAAAGTGGAAATAACTCGACTAATTTTCAAGCCTTAATAGCATAACCATATGTGAAATCGTGAGCAACATTTTTTTTTTGAAGAAAAGGGATTAATCCATTAAATCATGCTCAAGAATGTTTACAAGGAACAGCGGAGCAAAATCCATCCAGTCCCCACAGCCTGTCACCAAAAAAGCCTCCCGTGTAACAGTATGGGCGGCACAGTTCGTAGATCCCTTAACAAAATGAAATTGAACATCCCCAACTGTGGATGCTAATCTCTTACATCATCAATCAAAAGACCAAGCGCAGAATTAAAAGAAGACGAACGGAGAGCATTAAACACGACTTGTGAGTCCATTTCTGTATCCACACTCCCCATGCCTGTACTTATTAACCAACCCAGGGCCTCTCTAGTAGACATAGCTTCAGCCTCCTTCACCAAGTAATTCCCAGGTAGTACTGTGCTCTTGGCAGCTAGAAACTTCCCCTCATCGTCGCGCAACACCCAGCCTACACCCATGACCACTAGTGGAAATTATGGAATTTCTGACCACCTAAAAGTGATCTTAAATTAAGTAGAAAGCTTTGTTCCGACCACTTTTGGTATCCGGAAAAACCCTTGTTGCTATTTCCGACCACTTTTTGGTATTAACTTGATTTAAGAGCACCTTCAGGTGGTCGAAAATTCCATAATTTCCAGTAGTGGACGTTAGAGCCTTGGCAAATTGCTGCATCAGTGTTAAGTTTAATCCTCCCCAACGCATGCTTAGTCCAGCGTGTAGGATGGGGCGCAGCAGCGTTGGCTATGGACGAAGCCTCATTCGCAAAAATCGTGAGCAACATTATTCACCCTATATATAATTCCAAAAATAACTCCATATTTTTCATATGAAAATGGATTTGTATTGTTCTTTCTCTGTTGATAGGCAAAGGTCTCTATGTAATTACATTCTAATTAAAGAGATTAAACTTTATTACAAATTCAATCATTTCACTGAATTGAACGCATTAGAGTACACATAAATAGATGGTTTCATTCCACGAGGCCATGACACCAATAGATCATCTTTGATCATTTTTCTTGAATTCAATTAGTGAAATAATATCTGTTTCATTACCTCATAGCTTTGATTTAGATGAAATCACGGGAAGTCAAAGGATGAAGAAGTTTAAAAAATAGGAAAAAAAAACAAGCTTAATTGAAATGAAATTAAATTTAGAGACATGTCAAGGGGAAATATAACATAATGATTTTAGATAATGGGTGTGTTTGCTTTGCACATATGAATCGGAATCGGAATCGGAATGAGAATCAAATACTTGGTAATGATAATGGATTTTGGTCAAAATATTTTGCATATTTGGTAGTAGGGTAGAATTGAAATGATTACCAATATTGATGTTTGGTTGTGTATGACCTTATAATTAGAATAAATGTTTTTTAAAAAATACAAAAATAAAAAATCAAGGCAATTAATCTGAATATAATGACATCCAAAGCATCAATATGAACAAAAAAATCAAAACAAAAATTTAAAAGTACGAATCCAAACTTAAAAATAGATTACCAATAAAATGGAATAATACCCCTTTTTAATTAGGGAATTGAATTTTTAATTGAATGGGTAATCAAAACTCATAGTTGCGTTTTAAAAAATTGCCAACCAAACACTAGCTATGATTTTGATTCGCATTTCTAGTGTGTAAACTCATGAACCAAACACCCCCATTGATTATCAGGACCTCATCCCACGAAAAATTTTAGTATGAGAAAAAAAAAAAGAAGAAAAAGAAGAAAATTTACTACCTAATGATGAGAATATAATTGTATTGTATTCAATAATAATGTCTAAGAGTACCGGGATCGAATATATAGAGATGCTAGATAGAATCCTAGTCTAACACGAATAATATAGTCCTAGTCTAATATGGATAATAGAGTCCTAATAGTCCTAATACTCCCCCTCAAGCACAAGGTTGGTCAGCCAAAACATTGAGCTTGCAACGGAGTAAATGAAAACGTACAGACGAAAGAGACTTAGTAAAAATATCCGCTATCTGATCTTTGGTAAAAATAAAATTGACTTGTAATTCCTTCTTCGCCACTTTATCACGAACAAAGTGGTAGTCGATCTCAATGTGCTTGGTGCGAGCATGAAACACCGGATTAGCACACAGATAAGTAGCTAGCTCCCAGATTGTCACACCAGAGTTTGGGCACAGAAGGTGGCGCAAACCCGATTTCCTTCATCAGAGAGACGAGCCAAGTAACCTCTATAGAGACATCAGCCAGTCCTTTGTATTCAGCCTCAGTTGATGAACAAGCCACAGTACGTTGTTTTCGACAAACCCGGCCATGAGACAAGATTGGTCCCCAAAAATACAGCAAAACCACTTGTAGATTTGCGATCATCAGGATTGCCAGCCCAATCCGAATCAGAATATGCATGAATATCTAGAGAAGGAGAAGACGTAATCTTAAGACCAAGATGTAGTGTCTCATTTACATACCGTAACACCCTCTTGAGAGCCGCCCAATCCGCAGTAGAGGGAGAGTACATGTGTTGACACAAATGATTGACTGCATAGCAAAGATCAGGCCGAGTTACCGTAAGATATTGCAGAGCACCTGCAAAGCTGCGATACTGAGTGGGATCAGCATATTGTACCACGGCATTAGTCTCGGCCTTAGTGGTTGAAACAGGAGTAATGGTCTCAATACCCAGAAAGAACGAGGACACACCCATATCACGAACTTTAAACTCAAGAGCCAACTTGTCAATAAGAGCAGTCACGTGAGCCAGATCAGATCCCATAACCAAAATATCATCCACATAAACTAGAAAATATAGACGAGTATTGCCATGTGAATATATAAATAGAGAGACATCCGTCTTGGAAGGTGAGAAACCAGAAAATCATGCAAACGAGTGAACCAAGCACGGGGAGCTTGCTTAAGCCCATATAAAGAACGTTGAAGGAGACAAACGTGCCCGGGCATCGTTTTGTCTTCATAACTAGGGGGTTGGCGCATATAAACCGTCTCAGCGAGATTGCCATTTAGAAAAGCATTGTGTATGTCCAACTGTCGAATAGTCCATCCACGAGAAATAGCTAAGGATAAAAGAAGACGTACCGTAGTCGGTTTAACAATGAGACTAAAGGTCTCAAAGAAATCCTCTCCGGCAATTTGATTGAATCCCTTGGCAACTAACTGAGCCTTGTAACGCTCAATCGAACCATCAGCCTTTCTCTTGGTTCTAAACACCCACTTACATCCAACTACATTCATACCTGATTTAAAGGGAACAAGCCTCCATGTATTGTTGTGCACCAAGGCATTAAATTCCAAAGCCATTGCATCCCGAATTCAGGAAATTTAACCGCTTGAGTAAAACATGTAGGTTCAGGAGTAACAACAGCAGCAGATAAAGCAACATGATCATGTGGTCCCGAACTTCTCGTATTCATTTCATGAGAGCGAACGGGTGAGGGCGCGTGACGAGACCGACCACGAGGCCGGCCTCTTGGCCGAGGAGCCGGCTGGTCCGTGACTGTCCGCTCGGACTCGGTCACGGGTTCGGTAGTAGCAGGCTACTGGCGGTGGTGGTCAGAAGCGGCTATGGGCGCGGCAGGAGGGTCACGAGCCGTGACAATAGTCGGATCACCACCAGAAATAATTGGTGCAACACCCCACGGCTTCGGGCATGGTTTCGGCAGGAGGGTCACGAACCTGCGAATACATAGAAGGAACAAAAGGAAAGACAGCCTCATCGAATCGCATATGGCGACAGATAAAAACCTTGTTAGTGTTAGTGTCTAAACAACGATAGCCACGAAAAGATGGAGGATATCCTAGAAAGACACAAGGGGATGACCGAAACTGTAGTTTGTTGCGATTATAGGGACGCGGATTTGGAAAGCATAAACACCCAAAAACATGTAGATATGAATAAGATGGAGGAGACAGATGCAAAAAATAATGATGAGATTTATCATATAAGACAGGAGTGGGCATTTTATTGATTAGATAAACCGCAGTTTCAAAAGCATAATCCCAAAAACGAGACGGAACAGAGGATTGAGCCATTAACGCTAGTCCCGTTTCAACAACCTGCCTATGCTTATGTTCTAACCTGCCATTTTGTTCATGAGTATACGCACATGATTGCCTGTGACGAATACCTAAGGACGCAAGAGTGGAACCAAGCTTTTTATATTCTCCCCCTAAATCAGATTGAAAAGAAATAATCTTGCGAGAAAAGGAACGTTCAACTAGTGACCGAAACTTATC